ATGGTTACCCATGATAATATACATTTCACGTTCAGCTTATGTACTGAGATCTAATAATAAATGTACTGTTATACGATACAACTATTTTTATAAAACACAAAATTTTTCCATTGGTTCATAAAATTTCAATGTGGTCTTTCTATATGTTTTATTTTATAAATGCATATTTTTCTATATAGAATATATGATAACGTAACAAATGTATTTATAAAAAAATATTTTAGTAACAAATGTATGGACAAATTCGGGTCTCTTAAAATAACAGAAGTAAATTTTTAATGCATTTTTTAACTAAATAAAATTTATTACAATTCTTTAGACCAGAAATTTGATAAAAGAAAAAATATTAAAAAATGTAAATAGAAATTTGTTTGAATTAAATGCTGCATTTATTATGATACACCATGTCATCGGGATATGTGTACGTCATCGTTTGGTGCTCTCACAAGTCCTGGTTCGACTATGTCCGATGTTGGTGGCGATACAAACTTTCGACATTAACCCGCGCTCAAGTTTGTCCTTTCACACGCCAACAATCATATTTTTGCCTGACCGCAAAATTATCTAATTGCCATGGCTATAAAATATTGGCCTAGTTGCCGGGTAACTTTAGGACTCAGTCAAATTAAATGCTAGCACGATCCAACTGTTCCCTAACTTCCTTTTCACTTCTTTTTCTTTCTTTTATAATATTATAACCAAGAATTTATATATGTATCTATTTTATATACGATACACTGTTCATACTCGATCCTCTTGTTAAGATTATACGCTTTTCATTTGTAAGGTAAATACAACTGAAACTGAAGCGTTTCTCCTTGTGGCATACCCTATCCATATTCGCGCGCGACGCAAACAAATTATCTCAATTCAGTTTGTTTATTTGCGCGACGACTGCCTTGTCGATATTTGTTGAAGTATAACTCAAGTTTCGATACAGTGGTTGTGACGTCTTCTCGTTTCGTTGAGGTATGCAGATCAGCCCTAGAACGGGTGGTTATGGTGCACTACGTTTTGGATTTGCAGATGAGAGTTGGCGCAACCGTCTGAGACATTGTTGGAAAGATACTCAAATGAAGAACAGAAAAGTTCGGAGTCATATAAACTCTACTGCGCGCGTGTAATTCAACCAAGTAAAATGCTAGCCAATAAACCTGCATTCGGAACTTCTCTTGTTTTCTTTGAATGCATTTCGTAGACACGCCTACGTTATAGTAGTCAGGGTATATTCCGTACTCCTTAATATTTTCTACGGTGCATTGTTTTTCTTTTATCGTTTAAACTTATTTATTTGTCTAAGCTTTTGATATCATATTTTATCAGAGCGAATTTACGCTTCATATTCTGATATTGCAATAAATAATATCAATACATGTCGCTTGATGTGCGCCATAAATCATAACATGCACGAAAAAAGCCAAGCAGAACCTTTTAATTAAACGTTATTTTGTCTCGTTATTAGAAGATTAATCTTTTCTTAATAGATTGTTGTAGGAATCTTTGATATGTGAAGAAAAACATAGTTTATGATGATAAAGAAAGAATTTTCATTGTTTAGGAAAAAAGATACATATATAGATTAAAAATATTTAAATAAAATATTGAAAACAAAAAATATTTTTTCGTTTAAATAAAATGAAGGAACGCCGATAAATTGTCAGGAATCACTAATTAAATTTATGTTGAGTTTTCAATAATTATGTCCTTTACACGAACGGAATATTTGATTTTTCATTAGTTTTTTTATAGTAATTTATTCGCTTGGTGCGTTTATGGAGTATAAAGAAGTGTTGATACTTCTAGTGTTAATATTAAAATAAATGAAAGTATTTTTTTTTATTGTTATATATATATTTTGAAATATGTTACTTTAAATTTATTCAACGTTTCTTTAAGAAAATCTCTTTAAGATTTATATATATATATATATTATAAAATTGATTAGCTGTTTCATACACACGCGCGCGCGCGCGCGCACACACACACAAGAGTTTACAAGAGTTTGGCTTTTTACGTGTTGCTAATTTTTGTGTGTAAAGTAGTTGAAAAAAGTTACTAATGCTTTAGAATAGGTACGTGAATTATAATATATGTGAAATGATGACTTCGAAGTGCTCGATACATGTACTTTTTAGTTGTACACGATTGGCCATCGACACAGTGTAAGAATTTGCTTGAAGTGTGCCAAGTCGTTCACTCAAGTATAAGAATTTCGCTAAAGCTCGTAAGATCGCCAATAAGATTTTGTATACTTCAATGTGAATAACATACTTGAAAGTTGTTATTTATAAGTAGATATAAAGTAAAATACTATACATTTTTAAGTATTAATTTAAAAAATGTAAATTTTTTCATTAAAAATGTTTTAATGTTCCTGTATAATTTTGGACACGTAAATAAATAAAAGTTCTGAAATAGTTAATAGTTTTAATATTTCGTACTTTGTGTGAATAAAATACGTATTAAGAGAGAGGGGAAAGCTTCTTAAATATTTTATAATACGATTCTATAAAATTATAATAGATTAGATTATATGATAATTAGATTAGATAATAATTTAATATATTTGGGAAAGATCTAAATTTTCAATAATTAATTGTTAATTAAATTTGTAATCTATTCGAATGTGCTGAATATTATATACTATAATTTCATACTTCCTCATATGTATATAAATTTATGATTAAGTTAGTTATATATCAATATTTTTATTTATTAGTATTTTTATACATTGTTATTTATTGGTATTTTTATGCAATTTTTTTCTTATAAATGAACCGAATTATTTCATAAAATACGAGAGCGTTTTCTATAATGTGCAGTTTTATTGCTTCAAAGAGTCGGGGAAGTAGAATTTAAATTATCCGTAACGAGATAACCGACATTCCTTAGTTTAGTTAAAAGAAACAAGATAGGAATTTTTAGATTTTAGTATTATAGAAGATCTTGGAAGTTAGAATGAAAATGAATAAGATATCGAAACCAAACGCGATGCAGGGCTTTACTGTGAACCCTAAGATATAGATTCGTTCAGAAGTAAAAGTAAATTACTTTTACTTCTAACAGTAAAGGTGGAAGTAAAAGTTATAAATCAATGCAATCCACGTGGTTGTGTTTTTAATCGCGAAAACGTATATCCGTGCTTGAGAACTGTCACGAGAACTGAATGTTTATGGCGTAAAAGAAGGCGAACGAGGTAAATTTCTCTACGAAACTATTATTTTCTCTTATGAGAAATTTAAGATACGTTCGTCGAGGAATATTAACCACGTAAAGGTGGCCAGCAAGAAAGAACTTTCTGCGAATTTGGCCTATGCAAATACGGGTGAACAATCCGGATAGGTCGAGTTTGTGAGCCCTCGCCTAGTGAAAAAGTTTGGACGCCTCGCGACGAATATTAATTAAAGACTTGCGGAATGAAATTAGTTAGCCGAAGGGTCGGAGGTGACTCTCGAGGATGGACGATGGAGTCCTCGACTCGGCGACGAAGAGCCGCTTATGATAATATAATAATACTTGGGGCCTCGGAGTGCTACCTCCAAGCTCATTATGCGTTTAGTTCATAACTTCAATTGGATTCTTACTATCCCTACCGAGCCAGGGCTTTCATCCAACCGTTGTCTCAAACCATCCTAATTATACAAGTAATTACTATCGCGAAAGAGAACGTTTCAACTCATTCATGGCCGCGATGATGCTGCATAAGCAAAGATAGTTTATCTCTTTTGCAATTCAAATATTTTGTTCAAGATATTTGATTAAAATTTATTGTACTTATTATAATTTCGTTACAGTAGAAATACGTAGGTATTATAAATTTTAGAATTTAAACATTTCTATCATCGTACTGCATATACTGTATATTAGCCAATGTTTTTGATGATTATAATTTCCTTTCGTTAGAATTGTGTATTTAATCATTTCAATTTGGTGCATTTTGAAATGCGATTTACGACTTACCGTCAGTAAACGCATTTTAGAAGAGAGAAAAGAGAGAAAAGAAAATATTTGTTGACCCCCATTGCTACGGGAAATTTTCACAGGGTCCATACTGTCGCTCGCAAGGCTTTGAAATCAATCTCAGTACTCTGGGAACATGATAGTACGACGCGAGTAGAACTTCTTCCTTCCTCCGCCTCGATCCATTGAAAAAAGGCTCTTGAGTCCATCTCAAGGTATCGATTAACAAACACTCGAACAGCTAGTGCTGCCTTTGTAGAGCCCGCTTTGCAGAGTAACCGCTCGTGGTAAAGCCGTTTCGAGCTTTCCTGAATGGCACAGTGAAAGCTTTCTGTGCGAACGACTCACCGAGTGTTGCACAAGAGGCGGACCTTTCGAACTCCACAGAATAACGCGACCGTGCGCATCCATTTGTGCGCGGTAGAATTTCGCCGACCTAATCGAATTCCAGTTGCGTCGGCGAAATTTCCGCATTCGCGACCGACGAGCGCGATATTTAATTTAGCAACGCCGATTTGGTATTCATGACGAGGCATGCTGTGGACGTAAATATAACGCTTTGACGGAGCACTTGGAAATATGTATCGACCCTTTGATTTTCTTTTCCAAAATTGAACCGATATTCTATTCGCCAGGCTGACTTTGACTCGTCAAAATTGCTTTCAGCTTTTGCCATCCAAGACTTGTATTTAACATGCTTTCTTTTGTTAGATAAGGATATGAAATTCTCATAAAATCGCAATTGCATTTTCTCACTTTTACGTTCCGATCATTGGCAATATCTTGTATGCACGAATTCTGTATTATATAATATAGGAAATTTTAGAAAATAATCAAAAACTTGATGAATTTACTTTGTTTAGATAAGAGATTATGTGATGTGTAATACGTATTGAATTATACCTGCATTCGTTTGCAGCAACAATTAAACACTTTCACCTGCTATGTCAAGAAAACCATCTATCACGATAGTAATCATGCTCTATGCTACACTGTTGTATGCAACAAAACTCTTGGTCATAGTATGTGAAAGTACTTACCTTCAGATTTAGGTGCGGGAGGTTTGCGAGTGGCCCAGTTTGTCCGAATACTTCTGCCACCTAGCCATTGGCCGTTCATGTTGCCAATCGCACTTTCTGCTTCCTGAGAAAAGACAACAGACAAAATTAATATTTTCTATCGCAAATTCTAAAAGCGAAATCCATATATTAAAAGCAGAAAGGAGACGATTTTGTTAATTATTAAATGTAGAAAGTTATTAATTAGTTCTGATATTAATTCTATTGAACTTTGCAAACATTCATTTAATATTTGCTTTGTTAACATTTCTAACATTTTATATATAATATTGTACGTATATTGAAAAAAAATTTATTCCACTCTCTTTCCCAACATTGCTTTTTGCTTATATATATAATGGAATATTTTTTACAATACCTTAGCAGTGCATCGGATTTTATTTGGTCTTTATGCTATTACATTGTTCATTAATTCATTTTTTATGATCAAAGGAATCGTTGATTTTGCAAAGAGCATTCAAATGGAAATACAAAATATTTTGCATACAGTAAAACGGTCATTTTATTTTATAATGCACTTTATCGAATGTGTATGAACGGATACGATTACAGTTAAATTTGCAAAATTCTTACATTACAATGCTATACTCCTGAAACACGCGTTAAAAACATAGAAATAAATATGCGAAATACAATAACAAAGAAGATAACTGATATTTTTGTAAAATTCGTCATATGTAATTAACGTGAATTTTATTTAAAAAATATAAATAATAATTGTGATATTACAGAAAAGACAGAATTGTGTGTGTATTTACGTATTACAGAATGCTTCTAAGGGATTTTACCGAGAGGCGAATGAAAATACGTGTCGTCGCGCGCACAGTGTCTCTACGAAAGCTCCTTTATTGTCTTTCGCAACGTCTATAACAACAATTGCGGGGCGTCATAAGAACCGCGACGGCATCCGCGCGAAACGCGGGATGATGCCGCCGCATTCACACGCAAAACCGCGGATAAAACCAACAGGTATGTTGACGTCAATATTATCCACGACTTATTGTTGATTCAGCCGCGGTATCCCGCTGGCATGGCCCTCGATCCAGGTCAACTTAATATACGTTTCGAAATTTTATTCGATCGACTGCACTCTTGATTCCCCGGATTTTCGTGAACCGCTTCGGGCGATCCGGGACGTTTTCCATTGCGACATTGGATTCTCAAGGCAGGATCGGGAACACCTTTGGCAAAGAGGAGAAAGCGCCGTCGACGTATTTCTGTGCAATGTGAGCTATTTGCACAATCCATGGACATTCGAACGAAACAGGGAAACGATATCCAATCCATCTTCTTACGTAATCGTTACGTAATTCTTACATAAAAAACAAAATCTTTATGTTGATAATAAAAAATCTTTATATTGTTAAAATTCGCGGATGAGACGAAAAAGTCATATAATGTGATATTTGCAACGCGTAGCACTCGCGCATAAGAAATAGGGTATGGCACACGTCATCATTTGCACCGTGTACACCGCGATGCACGCGCGGAAATGTACGCTCGCGCGACATCGTTGACGGTAGTCAACATTCGGACGGTAGATCCGCAGGATGGCTGAGAAGATGGAGACCTAAAAATATTCTCGACGCAAGGAATTTCCCGAAAAAGTTTACTGTTCGAAAAGCTCTTTGGGTATGAGAGGCGAAGGGAAGATATTTCGTTCTCTCCTTTTCTCTCTTTTTCTCTCTCTCTCTCTCTCTCTCTCTCTCTCTCTCTCTCTCTCTCTCTCTCTCTCTCTCTACAGTCTTCTACAGTCTTTGCCTCTTTCCAGCTTCTACGGCAACAATCCACCCTCTGTCGCTCTTTACTCTCACCCATTTGCGCCATTCGGGGCGTCCTCGGCTTTGCCTTTGCCTCATCTCAAGTCGTTACTTTCTTCCACAGAGCGGGCTACGCTTCAGCCAGTGGCTCTCTGAGCTTTTCTGCACACGCTCCTTATTCCCCGTCGCATACCCCGCGCTAGATAAAATATTTCCGATTCAAATCTCTATTCCCGATATGATACCGTACATTCGCGTGGTTAGCCTAGATAGAGCTCAGGCGACCGAATGCCCCGTTCTAAGCCGATTCTAAACTTCGGTCGATATCCCGACGCCTCTTCGACCCACAACCCCTGAAAACCACCGCCGCTTGCCTCCTTCCGTCCGGCGTGACCAGGGCGTTTACGTGGTATCAGAAGTACCACCATCAGCGGCCTCCCGTTTCTCCCCACACTTTCCACCGGCCGGTAGTTTGAGCTGTCCAAGCACCCATCAAATCGAATTTCTTCCGCGGTCGGCGATGCTATAGACAGACGGGAGCGCCGCTTACCGACACCCAACTGTTTTACACGCATTATTAAGTCATGCCCCAGCACGGAGTAACGTGCCGTCGGATTACGTGGCCTTAACGAAACTTCCTTCTGAACCAAACAAACTGTACAAAGCCTCATTGTAATCGACTTTGCCTCTTTAGGCTTGTCTTTTTTAAATTTTCTATTATTTATATTGAATTTTTATCGTTTTGTAAATTTTCTTATTAAATGTTTTAATTCGCAGTAAAAGATGTATTTTTAACAAATTATGGTATAAGTGAATCTAATTAGTTATAGCGTCCTGACTAATGTTCTTAAAAGAGGCTAAATATTTTATTTATTTTATTATAGCAGATATATATTGTTTAGTATTTAATAAAAAAAATTTACATTAAGTAGTTTGCTAATAATTTTTATTGCAACGTGAACATATAATAGTATAAATAATGAGTTTATATATATATATATATATAACCACTCACATATAACATGATTAAATTTTGTTGTTCGTTAAAATAATAAAATTTCAATGCAAAATTCCAATGCAAAATTCCAAGGAGTATTTCTTTGAAACGTTTTCAAATTATTTATTTAATTTGTTTATACAATTCAGAAAACTTAAGTAACGCTTCTATTTTTAATAAAAACTGTATGACTCCATGACTAAATAAAAATATGACCTGTTGTTTTAAAAATTCTACGACTCGCTATATACGATATTCCTATTGCGTCAGAAAATAAAGACTATTTACATGGCTGTGCGTATATTCAATGCCACGTGTCAACGTGGCTGTTATACATCCGATATTTTGACTGTAGCTGTAAATAAATAACGTTAATACATACGAGTACCAATGCGCTTTCCAATGCGCCGTAAATGACGTTCTAATTGCTTCGTTTACATACCTGGGAGAATACAAATCTATGCGAATGAAGGCACGCTTTTGTGTATTTAAGGTCGTGAGTCATAATATCGCACGATTTATCGATCAAATGGTAGAGTAATAAAAGTTGACAGTAACTAGAACGACCCGAGTACTTACGTAGTGTGTGTAAGTATACATTGACTATCAACTAGTAACAGGGACAGAGCTTGGACTACATGACGGATCCATCTACGCATAGACATCGACATTGTACCACATTCGCTCTTGGAAACGTTTTACATATTTTTCTTTTCAAAATTACAAATCCTGGTTATTCTTATTTCGTTAACATTCAGGTTATAAATCAATTTGTAACACAAAGAGAATGAATATTTACCTACTAAGATTCAAGTAATTAGTAACATTCGCGAAACGTACACGTATTAAAAGAACTGTTGCCATTACTAAACATCACATCTACATGAATATCGTAATATATGTATAATAGTTACGAAACATATAGGCTGATATTCATATATAGAGTCGGTTCTTATTTAAAATCGTCTTAAGATATCATAAACTAATCACACAGCCGTATTAGCATTTTAAGACGGTCTTGAAATTGACGGACGGACTATGAATACTAACCATATTAGGAGCGCACGGCGGGACATTATAAAGCTCATCAAATGCAGTATTCGAGACTTCGAATCCGTCTCTGAAGAAAAACGAGAATCCCGAGAATTCGTATTTCGTCGTACATCTTAAAAGAGCCAGGATGTTAGATGCTAAGCGATCAGAGTTCGCGATTTAGGTACGTGTATCCGGCGGTCGAAGGATATAGTGGCGGTGGGACTGGTTGGTGGATGGGGATAGCGGCGGGTAGGAAAGGGGAGAAATTTTCGCGTGTTCCTCGAGGTTAACGGAGACACTCGGGAAATTTATACTTCGGCAATAGTAATACCGCGGGTGTGAGGCAGGTGCCGGCGGTGGTCCAGATCGATAGGACATTAAAACAGAGGGGAAACGAAGAGAGGGTCTACCTTCGGGGCAGGCGCCTCGACGAATAACCCCGCCATAAACGGAGGAAAGCCTTCTTTTACTCAGCCGTACATCTAACTTCGCCGTGATTTACGTCGCGGATTTTGGCGGGTCACACTAAAACTCCGGCCACTCTCCATTTAGCCCCGAAAAATGATGTTGTAAACCGTGACGGTCGGACCCTCCCCTTTATTTGATCAACGAAAACCGAGAGAACGGTGTCAAGTTTGACATACTGCGGATGTGATTTCGTAGTTATTACCTTGTGGAATACTCGCGTTCTTTTCGACTCTAGAGACAATCGGGGTTAGATGCGATAATTAAAATGCCGCTCGGAAGGAAATTATCTACCTTATCATTATACTACCGTAATTCTGATTTACATAAAATGCATCTTTCATCTTCTTTGCTTACCCAAGTGCCCGAATAATTTGTTATTTCATTTTTTTACTATAATCCTTTAGGAATGGAATTACGAACATTGTTGTTTTAATCGATGCACTTTGCATGTTTTGCAACCTTCTTTAAAATGACTGTCCTTTAAACTTTCTTGAGAGTGATCGCATTTTGGTAAAAGAGAATGTTATAAGAAAGCGTGATGTATAAAGTTTTCTTAAAGATTTGCAAGGTAATTGAAGCAAAAAGTTAATTTGGAATAAGTACATTTTTGGTAGTTAAGATATATCGATTGATATAATACATATTTGAAGTTAGCTTATTAAACTTTTTAAATAGAAAAAAATTTCTTCTACTAAAACAAAACGTTTTTCATGCTATAGAGACAGAATATGAATGAATTATGAAAATTAATAATAACAGAATTGTAAAATTTTGTATTTAAAAATTATATGTGTCTAATAAATT